TTCAGGCAGAAGAGAAGAGCACTGGTGCTTGCTGGAAGGGGGAATAAGTAACACTGCCTCTCCCTCCACCCCCTAGAAATGAAAAGCATTAAACCCATGCAGTGCACACAGAACCAACTGCAAGGGTATTTTTTTTTTCCAGCCCGGAATTCAACTTCAACGCGCATTGCCAGAACACATGGCAATGCACCTGCTCTATATGTGGCACATTGCAGGGCCATTTATTGTGAGTGACAGTCCAACACAATATACAGTAGAATACAATGCACCACAATGTATATAATGTGTGTTGAGGTGAGCTGCATTTGGGAAAAAGTCACGTAAGATTGTTTGTATTGGTGTGTTGGCAATCTATTCATAACAAATGAATGGAGGTCTATAGAGAACAACTGACAGCAGTCAAACATGTAACCCATGATAGTGGAATACTATAGGTACAAAAATCTGGAGTAAGGGCAATCAACCTTTATTTATGTGTTCTGCATCATATACTCAATTTGATTTGCCCACATTATAGACAGCTTTACTTTAAAAGTAATTCAAGTGTTAGGTGAAAATAGTTATGTTGCATGTTAACCTGTACAAAATCCCTGGTACTGAAGTTTTTTTTACCTTAAGAGATTGTAAACCCTTACATATACCCAGTGACTGGCCTCAGGTGATACACAAAGATGAAACAAATCCTCCTATATAAGTTGTGCCTGTCTATCTACAGTCTTCTCTACATCCGTTCAAAGTCCAGAATTTATAAAGCTTTTCAGAGTCCAGAAAAAAAGAGGGAGCTGAGAACTGAAATTACACCCATTGAGGAAAGCTCTGAGAGCCAATTGGAGGGAAGTGAAACACCGTAAAGTTCAATACAAGAGGGATAGGAGGGCCCTGCTCCTCTGAGCTTACAGGTTTCTAGCAGGTAGTGCTGACCTACCCACGTGTGCACCAAATGCACATGTACAGATCTGACCCTGTAATCAGTGTCCTCAATCCCCACTGCACATCACAGTCCCCTCCTCATTCACATCACAGTCCCCTCCTCATTCACAGCAAGATCCCTCTTGATAAGTGTCCTCAGCTCCCCCTTTACATTACCCATCTCCACCCCTTTCACAGTAGTGTTCTCAAACTTCCTTGACATCAAACCCCCCCAACAGAACTCTCCTCTACCCCCCTTCACTGAAGAGTACTCTGCCCCTTTTTACATCATCCCCCCACGTTACTGTCCTCAGCCCTTCCCACTTTAATGTCCTCAGCCCCCACACATTAAGTTTTTGGCCCCCCTTCACACTAATGTCCTTAGCCCCTTTAACTTAACACCCCCCCACTGTGCTACCTTACACAGACAGTGATTGATTGCTAGGACTGCCCTTCATCCTAGCAACCAATCACCTGCTTGTTAACATCGGGCAGCTCCCACCCTCCATCCAGGACTCCAAGAATCCAAGGATTCTTTTCTTCAATGTAAGTTTGGACCTTCCCCTCTCACAAAACCAAGAGTTTGCTATCACTATAAATAAAATTCTGTACTGGCAGTTTATCAAGGCCTTTGACCAGCTCACACAAGTCTCTAAAAATAAAGAGAATCAGCTGATTAAATAAAACTAGTGTGCTTCTGATTCACAAATGATAGCCCAGTATGTACAGCTAACTTTGTGAATTAAATGACTGAAGGATCTCATTGTTTGGGAAAGAGGAAGTGAAAAACATGACTTGCACAGGGCAGAGCTACAAGCTGGGAGGAGAATAACATGAAATCAAGCAGAGGAACAATGCTTCCATATCATCAATTCTGCAGCAGTTATGGAAGCTTTCCATTTCTGGTTAGTGATATATGTAGGTAAAAGGGATCATAAGGAAACATTGTTCTTCTGCTTGCTTCCATGTTATTCTCTTCCCAAAGTGCACAGGATAAAGCCTTTCACTTTTTTAGTCTAGGGCAGGGGTGGGCAAACTTTTTGACTTGAGGGCCGCAATGGGTTCATATATTGGACCCGGGGGCCCGGACCAAGAGTAGATGAATGATGTGTATGTGTCATCCATAGTAAGTATAGTAATATTCCCCCATAGTAAGCATAGTAATTCATCCCCCATATAGTAATTCATCCCCCATAGTGTAATTCATCCCCCATAGTGTAATTCATCCCCATAGTGTAATTCATCCCCCATAGTGTAATTCATCCCCCATAGTGTAATTCATCCCCCATAGTGTAATTCAACCCCCATAGTGTAATTCATCCCCCATATAGTAATTCATCCCCCATATAGTAATTAATTCCCCATATTAATTCATCCCCCATATTAAGTCCCCAAGTCCCCCCTGTGTCAATTCTCTTACCTTTGCTCCGCGCGTTCCTCTCGCCGTGTTCCCGCGCCGTTCCGGTGTAGCATGAAAATCTGTCTCCTATGAGGATCTGTCCTCCTCGACGTATCTGCTCATGTGCAGATACGTCGAGGGGGACAGATCCTCATAGGAGACAGATTTTCATGCTACACCGGTCTTCAGGGCGGACTGTGAGAGGAGCCTAGCTCCCCTCGTGTTCGTCACGCTGCCCCGCCTACACACATCCTGACAACCATCCTGACAGTATCACGCTCCGCGGGCCGGATTAAAAGGTCCGCGGGCCGTAGTTTGCCCATTGCTGGTCTAGGGGCTCATTTATACCCATCCTCTGGAACTCCCTGCCCCAACCCATCAGATTATCACCTACTCTCCTCTTCTTTAGGCGCACCCTGAAAACCCATCTCTTCAGGGAAGCCTACCCCGCCCCCTGCTAACTTGCCGACCTCCTCCACTCTTCCTACCACTCCATCCCCCACAGCTATCTCCTCCTGTGCCACCATCCCCTCCCTCCTAGATTGTAAGCTCGAACGAGCAGGGCCCTCGATCCCCTCATGTTTTGCATTGTATTGGTATTGTTCTGTCACATGTTCTGTTCCCCTCTGTAATGTACAGCGCTGAGCGAACTATTGGCGCTTTATAAATACTGTATAATAATAATAATAATTTATACTACAAACCCCATGTTCTGCATTTGTGTTTACATGGGGTTGTGGCATGTTATTGGCACTTTTTTTTTCTTTTACAGAGCAGCCTTGGATTAAGACGAGTTAGGCCCATACCCATGCGAGGGCTGTGTTTACCTGCACGGGGATGCACAGGTGTTCAATGCATCTGTGCAAGAAGCGCCATTCATGTTAAGTGGGACACAGCTGCTGCCCCCAATTTGACAGAGTGCATGGCCCTAAACACAGAGTGTACATTTCGGGCCATACACCTACACAGCTGTCAAACTTGGGAGCAGTGGTTGTGTCCTAATTGATATGAATGGTACTGCTTGCATAGGGATGCTTGGAACACCTTTGCATCCCTGTGTGGAAAGCATGGCCCTCACAGATCTGCACGTGTAGTACACCTGCGTGATTGGGATGTTTTTTCCAGAACCTCTAGACTCCAGAGACCTTGTGCAGGCAGCCCATTCAAGTCTATTAGGATGCAGCAGCTGCACGGGCACAGCTTCTCATCCTAATGTGACAGATGTGCAGGTGCACAACCCTAAATGCACTTGGGACAACTCACATACATACCTGTCACATTAGGATGAGCGGCTGTTGAAGACTGGGTTCACGCTGATGAGGTGCGAGAAATGCTGTGAATCCTGTGCGTTTCCCGCGCCACATGGCCTTCATGTGATCTTGGTGCGGGTGTCAATGTTAAATTAACGACACCGCGAATCAGATTGCTAAACACAGTGAGATTGCCAGAAATTGCATCTCATGGGTAAGAGCATCCACGCGATGCGATTCAGGTGCGGAAGGGAGATTGACAGCTCATTCACCAGAACTATAGTGAAGGGGAAAAAAAAGCCAGTAATTACATTTAAAAACCGGCAGTGACATTTAGGGGCAGCTAGTGAGGGAGCCTGAGTGTATACACTGCTCCCGAACTGTATACACTGCTCCTTTCCCGCCCCCTCCTCCCTACAAAAGAGGACCTGTCACTCGTATGCTATCACATAGGAGACTATTGGTTCCCTATGTGATAAGAATAAAATCAGAAGTTAAAAAAAAAAAAAAAAAACAACCATTTTCAGCCCCCTGCATTCTGTATTTTCGGTATCGGCACCAGAATTTTCATTTTGGTGCACCACTATTTACAACCACTTTAATGCATTCCTGACATTAAGGTAAAAAACATACCACTACTTGTCGTGCCCTGACAAACACTTAACCAAGTACTCTCATGATCCAGCACTCTCCCATCTGTAGCACTGCTGCAGTCAGTCAAATCCTGTGAGAAGCCAGTGGGGGAGTGGCCGAGCAGTGCTGCATATGTCTATGGATGCACACAGCTCACACAAAAAAGCGCTGCAACGGTGTAAACTAGACTGACTGAAATACATTCAATTTTCTTGCATGTATACTGTGTTTACAAGCACTTTCAAATGCATCTGGTGTGAAGGAGCCCTCAATCTTCACCAATATTTCAGAATGCTATAGAATGGTGCAGTCAGGCAACCTCTACAGACACTGAATTAGTAGTAGTGTTCCACGCCTGAGTGACACAGTAAATGACAGGGCACATGCATGGCAGGCTGGGTATGCGATAGCAGATTATTATTTGTACACAGAAGCCAAGGAGACAGACTTTGTCTAGAAAGGCTGGATAACATCTGCACATCCATGCAGCCCCAGGCCTGAGGTGGCATGGCCACTTCCATGACTGGGGGTTCTCCATCCCTACTGGTGCCACATCATCCATTCAGGAGGCAGAGAAGGCTGGTTCTGCTGCTGGACCAGGTGTGAGGGGATGTCATTCCTAGGAGCAGGGTGTGGGGGGTACAGTCCTGTCTGCTTATGACTGGGGGTGGTGGGTGGTCACAGAAGCCCCCCTACAAAATGCCAACTGCTGCCATCATTCTCCACAGGCCAGTGTTACCGCGCCCCCACCTCCCTACTTTCCATGCGCCGGCTTTTCTTCTGTCCAGCCTCATTCACCGGTGCCTCACCTCATCCTCTTTGTGGTTCCGGATTCCCCGCACCAGGTCTTGTAGGTTCTTGTCGAACATGCGATCAATGCTGCCCTTCACCATGCGGAGCGCCATGTCTGCACACCGGGTAAGGGCCCCCGCCGGACTCTCCTGTCACCGGACACGGACACACAAAATGGCTGCCACTCAGCTGACTGCTTTGCCCGCCCACTGAGCCACGTGACTGACAGCACAAGAGGCGGCCTGAGGGAAGGGGGCTGAGCGGTCTTCCGTATACCCCCCCCCCCCTCCTCTCTAGGTGCGGTGTGAGTGGCAGGACGGGATGGTGTCAGCGAGGGAAGTTTCCTCAGACGGTGAACGCGAGGAATATGGACAAACCTGTTCTGTAGGAGACAAGAAACCTGGGGCAGGAGTGAGATAGGAGGCTTACTATAAAGGACGGCCTTGTGAGGGAACCTGTGACAGGGTTTGGAGGCGTTGTGCATACAAGTCAGTGTCAGGGGCGGACTGACAACTCATGGGGCCCCCGGGTAATAGGGGATCATGGAGCCCCTGTGTCCTTGCCCAAACTCAAAAAAGATTATGAAAAAGGTACCAGGGGCATCTCATGGGACCCCCTACTGACCTCGGGAACTGCCCGAGTTTCCAAATGGTCAGTCCGCCCATGGGCGGGGTTTAGTGTGGAGATTTTTGTCGGGACGTTTAATAATGCTGATTGAGACATGGCCAGTTTTGTTAAGTATTTCAAAATGTATTTTGGGATTAACATTTGACTTTAGTCATTACAATTCCTGAACAGAAGCCACATACACTCAGGACAGCCATCAGAAATTTGGGGGCCCCTTACATAGCTTTAGGCCCACCCACCAATGTACCCCAGGGCCTGCCCACTAGCCATCCTACTGAATATGCCCGCTGGCTGTCCCACGAGTCCTTCAGTGCGCACACTTTTATTGACAGCGGAGTTCCACTCAACCTAGCAAAAATAAAAGTCAGCAACTACAAAAACTGTAGCTGCTGACTTTTAAAAAAACAGCCACTTACCTGTCCCTCAGTCCCGTGGTGTGCCCCCCGCAGCTCGTTTCACTGGCCGTCCTGTATTCCAGGAGGCCGACATCTTCAGTGTGGGCACCCAGCCCACATAGCTTGTGGCTTCACAGCTGGGTACCCACTGCGCATGCGCGAGTAGTGCTGCGTTTCGTGAATGGTCCTGTAGTCTTCTGGGACCTGTCACGTGTACCAAAAGACTGTTCGCTGCAGAAAACTGAACTGGAAGTAACACCTTAATATGTGAAAATGAAAAGTTATTCCAAGTCATCAGTGCTTTCAAGAGTTAACAGTAAGATTATATTTTGACCAAAAAATTGGAAGCCTTCCATCACAATAAAGTAGACTCTTTTTCAACACTAACTGCACTACCTTTTCAATGTCCCCCAAATCTGTCCTCCCTTAGCAGATCTAAGAAAACTAAAACAAATATATTCAGCAGAGACATCCCCATTTATTAAGCAAAGAGACATCCAAACCCAGCAAAGCGACATCCCCATATATCCAGCAAAGAGAAATCACTATATATTCAGCAAAAAGACATCCAAATCCAGTGAGGAGATGGTCCAATCTGGCAGAGACATCCCCATATATTTAGCAAAGAGACATTCCAATCCAGCAAGGGGGACGGCCAAATCTAGCAGAGACATCCCAATCCAGCAAAAAGGCATCCCCACATATCCAGCAAAGAGACATCCCCATCCAGCAAAGAGACATCCCCATCCAACAAAGAGACATACCTACAGTGCCTTGATATATTTAGCAAGAAAACAGCCCAATACAGCAGAGACATCCCTATATATTCAGAAAAGAGACATCCCAATCCAGCAAAGAGATATCCCCAACTGTAAGGGACCGCCTGGCGACACCACTAGCATTCCACTAATCAGGCGTCCCCAGCGCACGGAGTCTAAGTCCCAGAGTACTTGTTCACCAGAGCCCCTGATGGTGGGGATGGACTTGGAGTACCCCGGGACCAGGTCGTGCTTACTGAGGGCACCCGTCAGTGGTAGGGGTGGTCGCCAGGGGCTCCCACGGGAGAGAGCCTGATATGAGGAGGTCTGGGAACCCCGCTGAGAGGAATGGATGGATGGATGAGCAAGTGCAGAGTCAGGCAAGCCGGGTCGGTAACGGGGAGGACAGCACGGTACAAGGCAGCGGGCAGAGAATAGTCGGGTCACACGCTAGGTCATCAACAGTAGGGTCAAATCCAATAGGGGACATACGGAAGAGAGGTCAGGCAAAGCAAGGGTCTGGGCAGGAGAATTCAGCAGTGGTCAGGTACAATCCGGGTCAGCAACTTACAGGTTCAGATACAGGATACAGGGCAAGGACAAGACCAGAAGGCACTGAATGACAGCTCAGGGCCGTTTAAATATCGCGCCCTGCGCTGCCATTGGTGCCCAGCGGGCGGCCGCGGCTCCCACTGCGCATGCGCGAACTCACGCGCCGCGGCCGGCCCGGACCTAGAGCCCGCGTCCCTGCACAGGGCGGCATACTGCGCCTGCGCCGGGACCATCGCGGCGGGGATCGAGGGGATCCCTGACATTGCCCCCCCCCTACGGGCAACCTCCGGATGCCCACACACCGATCTCTCCACCATGGGTGGTCACGAAGAAACCGCCGGACAAGTCTGGGTGCATGGACATTATGGGCTGGTTCCCAGAATTGTCCTCGGGGCCATAGCCCTTCCATTTTATAAAAATTGGGTCTGGCCCCCCCTTCTTTGGCACTTCAGGATCGTTTCCACCTCATATTCTTCTTGTCCCTCCACCGTTATGGCCTCCGGAGGTCTGGATTCACGTTCTGGGAAGGCATCCGGGATCACAGGTTTAAGTAAGGACACGTGGAAAACAGGATGAATTCTGAATGTTTCAGGGGGTAAGTTCATATGCCACCTCGTTGACCATTCGCTTCACACAAAAAGGCCCCACGAATTTAGGTCCCAATTTCTTTGAGGGACAAAGCATTCTCAAGTTGGTTGTTGCCAACCAGACCTTATCCCCAGGCTTCAGCACCAGATTCCCTCTTCGTTTCTTGTTATATGCATTCTTGTTATCCTCCTGGGCCCGAGCGATGGCTTCCTGTACTACTTTTGTTGTTCGAGGAGAAGAAGTTTAATGCGTCTTGCGTTGCCGGAACTGGGCACTCAGAGACCAAATCAGGAAGAAAGACAGGGTGAAATCCGTAATTAGAGAAGAACGGAGATTGCCCTGTCGCTGAATGGCTTGCGTTGTTATATGCAAATTCCGCTAAAGGTAACAGTGGTAACCAATTATCTTGAAGGAAGGATGTGTAGCAACGCAAGTATTGTTCTAGGGTCTGGTTTGTCCTCTCGGTCTGTCTGTTGGTCTGAGGGTGGAAAGCAGAGGAGAGGGACAACTTGATATCCAGGGCCTTGCACAGGGCCCTCCAAAATCTAGATGTAAATTGGACCCCGCGATCCGAGACGATGTCCTCCGGGATTCCATGTAACCTTACGATTTCCTGGATGAATATTCGCGCAGTCTCGGACGCAGACGGAGTCCTCCTCAATGGTACAAAGTGAGCCATTTTCGATAATCGATCGATGACCACGAAGATCGCGGTGTGTTCTTGGGACGGTGGGAGCTCGACTATAAAGTCCATTGCGATCCCTTGCCACGGTCGTTCAGGAATCGGCAAGGGACGCAGCAGTCCCCAAGCCTTGTTCCTCGATGGCTTGTTTTTCTGGCAGACGGTACAGGATCTTACATAGAGTTTACAATCCTTGGCCATACTTGGCCACCAAAAAGAGCGTTGGAGAAGCTCCAGGGTCTTGGCTGGGCCAAAGTGTCCCGCCATCGGGTGGTCATGGCAATGTCCCAGGACAAGGGTCCGGACCTCTTCAGGGACCATGACCAACCCATCCTTCCATAGGAGTCCCCCCTTGTTCTGGAGGGACACACCAACTGGGACTGACGCGGCCGTGGATGCCTCCAATAGTTTGGACCGAAGGTCCCGTCTGGAGCGCCAAGAAATTTCCTGCAGACAGAATCGTATCAGGTACCGGATCTTCTTTGGAGTCTTCAAACATGCGAGATAGTGCATCAGGTTTCGTATTTTTAGATCCGGGCCTATACGTGATGTGAAAAATGAACCTGGAGAAGAACAATGCCCATCTTGCCTGCCGTGGGCGTAAGCGTTTGGCGGTCCTTAGGTACTCGAGATTCTTGTGATCAGTGAAGATCAAGATGGGGTGCGAGGCACCTTCCAGCAGGTACCTCCATTCTTCGAGAGCTGTTTTGATGGCCAACAACTCTCGATCGCCGATATCGTAGTTCTTTTCTGCTGGGGTAAGTTTCCTTGAGAAGAACGCTACAGGATGGAGCAACTCTTTGGTGCCCTTTCGCTGGGACAGGATGGACCCCACCGCATTCTCTGAAGCGTCTACTTCCAAGATGTATGGCAGGGCAGCGTCCCGGGTGGCCCAGGATGGGTGCCGAGGTAAAGAGTTTCTTCAAGGCCTCAAAGGCTTCCTGAGCCTCCGGCGTCCATCTGAACCGGGTTCCAAGCTTGGTCAACTGAGTTATGGGGGAGACCAGACCCGAGAAGTTCTTAATGAACTTCCGGTAGAAATTCGCAAAACCGATAAACCGCTGGACGCCCTTCTTGTCCGCGGGTACCGGCCACTCCAAAATCGCCGAGACTTTCTGAGGGTCCATTGCGACCCCCGCGGTGGAGATAATCAACCCCAGGAACGTAATGCTAGGTTGCTCAAAGCAACACTTATCTGCCTTGGCGTATAACCCATGCTGACGTAACCGCCCCAACACCCTTGCCACATGTATCCTGTGATCCTTCAGGGAGGATGAGAAAATCAGTATATCGTCCAGGTAAACGATAACGAAAATGTCCAGGTAATCCCTAAAAATATCGTTTACGAAATGCTGAAATGTGGCTGGTGCATTGCACAGACCAAATGGCATGACCAGGTATTCAAAGTGCCCAAATCGTGTACGGAACGCGGTTTTCCACTCGTCCCCCTCCCTTATGCGAGCTAGGTTGTACGCCCCCCTTAGATCAAGTTTAGTAAATATGACCGCAGT